GGAAGACAACAAACCATGACCCGCTGTACACTTGAAGGAAGACAATAAACCATGACCCGCTGTACACTTGAAGGGAGACAACAAACCATGACCCGCTGTACACTTGAAGGAAGACAACAAACCATGACCCGCTGTACACTTGAAGGAAGACAATAAACCATGACCCGCTGTACACTTGAAGGAAGACAATAAACCATGACCCGCTGTACACTTGAAGGAAGACAACAAACCATGACCCGTTGTACACTTGAAGGGAGACAACAAACCATGACCCGCTGTACACTTGAAGGGAGACAATAAACCATGACCCGCTGTACACTTGAAAAAAGACCATAAACCCTGACCCGTTGTACACTTTAAGGCTTTTACATGTATGTCGGATGTTGTCAGGAAAGTACAACAGATTCCAAATCCTGTCTCCATCAAACGTTAGGTTGTATGAGATGCGCTACGCCGGCAAGCGGTTGCGGAAGGTGCATGCGTGTCTGGATGCAGTAGACAGACAATTCATTATCTGTGGGCCGATATATCTGCCAGAGTCCTTTACGCAATCTTTTTGTCACTGCAACTTCAAACAGCTTTGGACACCTAAGTTCAGCCTTGGTTATCCGGTCTAACCTGCTCTCTGCCAATACAGCACTGCGGTCTTAATCAGATCAACTTTGACACCTTTTGGCCATCGACTATTGCTGAGTGCACACTCACAGTAGACGTGTTAGATTCAGTCGGATGGGGGTGATTATCATTCGTGTGAGTAGTTGCAAGACAAGAAGTAAAAAGAAAAGAAACAGTAGCTATAGCAGGATAGCGATAGCTGTAGGAAAACCTGTTGACTTCCTGACTGACACACTATTGTGGGGTCGCGCTCCTTAACCGTGTCAGAATCTTGTAGCCTTCTAAATGAAGGTTTCGGTTTGCCATCCTGATTTTACCAAAGTGTCCAACGGGTTGGTTCAGCATCACTTTCTGGTACAGTAAGGTGTCACGCTGGGATACAGTAAACATATTGTTGATCAGTTGCTTCTGGTACTAAGTGATTTTCAAGTAATAAGGAATAGGATGACTGTGACACTCTATCATACAAAGTCGCCCCTATAGAAGACATAAGAAGTAATGTTGAGGAAATTGGCTAAAGATTGGCACACCCCATTTTACTCGCCACGTCCTGGTACCTGGAGTTGCTGGTCCATCTCTGATACTGGAACAAAGAGACACATACATCTCGGCATCTTGCAACGTTCCCGTCAATGTGCCTTGCAAATGTGAATTGTCAAATGTATCATGTACTCTAAATTGTCAAAACCTGAATTTATAAAACCTGAGAGGTCTCAAAGGTTTATGATGAAGGCTTGTGTTCAGCTCAGCCATGCATGGCAGGTGCATTGTTAAAGAAACTGTTCGTCTCAGCTAATGCTGTGTTTGTAAATAAGCACATGGTCATAGGTACTACATTTCATTAGGTTTTCAATTTTGCGTTTACACGCTTGGGTTGGTCAGGAATCGCTGCATAACATTTTATGTGCACATGTACATGATTTTTTCCCAAGCTCCTCTTAACGATAACTCATTCACTCATGATCAAACAGCCTGTACGGAGATTGTGTGGCGAACGTAGCATGCGATGCAGTGGAGCTGGTTATCCATGTGAGTCATGCGAGTTTTATGGAAGATCTATTCTTAGAGTAATCCATCATATCTTATTTAGACTGATACTTGTGCTGGGAGTGCGCTATATTTCTTGGCCGATAGCGTGAAGTGATAAACATTCAGCAGATTTCTTCATGACCGCAATCAGAACTCACTTACAAGATACTTTAAACTTCTGGAAGTTAAAATAAGAACATTCCCTGTGTAAAGGCAGGTTATGTTGTTAAGATAAGATCAAAACAACACATTTCCCGTACGACAAACCCACCATCACGCCGCAATCACCTCAAATATATCGATTCCAAGACAAGGAAAGGCGTTGAGTTATTTGAAGAACAAACCCAACTAATTGCCACAAATTTGTCATCTTGAGAGATATAAATACATTCAATACTCTCGTCAAAATGTCTTACCAATAACAAGTTTTCACTTCACGTCGGCCAAATATTTGCTCTAGTAGTCAGGAAAACGCTTAAAACTGGTTCCGTCTCGTTAGAGACAGCATTAATACTTGAAACGCAAGTCTCGCGGTTTATGGCCACACCTCGTTAGCAATCAATAACGTTGAACCCTCGATAGCAAAACTTGACCTCCACACTTAAGTGGCCTGCCCTCTGGCGGAGACTGACACATGTAGGGAGAGAATCGGCATGACCTCGGACCTGAATACCGCTAGTGATAATCCTGTGTAAGATACGACTGTACAGTGTACCCAGGCAATGTGTTAGATACGGATGTACAGTGTACCCTGACACAGCCTTAGATACGTAGGTATATTGTATCCCGACACTGTGATATAAAAGTATGTATTATATACCGTGACACTGCGATATATACGTATGTGTAGTATACCGTGACACTGTGATATATACGTCGGTATAGTATACCGTGACACTGTGATATATACGTCGGTATATTTTTCCGTGACACTGTGATATATACGACGCTATAGTATACAGTGACACTGTGATATATATAGAGAATACTACACGAGGTCTCATTACATACGAATTATACGAAACGAGTGTCCTTCCTATGGTATCTGACCGAGCGAAAGCGAGGTCAGATAACATAGAAAGGTCACGAGTTTCGTATAATTCGTATGTAATGAGACCGAGTGTGGTATTTTATTTATTAACCACGTCTTACATGCATTAAATTGACAAAATAGCGTATTTTTGTTAATATTTTGGTTTCAAACCGAAAACGGTTTCATAAAGAGGTTGCGGAAGAGTTTTGTACTGTAGTCCAATATTTGCATGACGTCACAATGTAATGACGTCACTGCCTTGGTAACCGACGTCACGATGCATGTCAGTTGTCATCGCCTCGTACAGCCTTTTACAGTAAACTACTCCGTAGCACCCCGTTTCTATGTTTGCAGTTGCTTCATTCGGCTAACATCACTAGTGGAAACATTGCGTTTACGTTTTTCGACGGATATAATGTCTCTGTTCGACTCACAATTAAACAGCGACACAGCAACGTTCGCGATGTTTACATTCCCACAATGCATTTAAGTTGTAGAATGAATGAATTCACGTGTTTGGTATGAATGAAAAAATAGTTACGTCAGAATGTGACCTAATTGAGAGGTCATCGGTTATCCAATCAAATCGTTAGAATCTCAGGTCAAGTCGTTACGACACAGGTCAACGCGATACGACACTCGTGTGACGTACGAGATTAGTATGCAACTACCCATACGTTGACCACGTGGGTAACGTCGGTATAGTATACCGTGACACTGTGATATATACGTCGGTATAGTATACCGTTACACTGTGATATATACGTCGGTATAGTATTCCGTGACACTGTGATATATACGTCGGTATAGTATACAGTGACACTGTGATATATACGTAGGTATAGTATACAGTGACACTGTGATATATACGTCGGTATAGTATACCATGACACTGTAGGTATATATACGTAGGTATAGTATTCCGTGACACTGTGATATATACGTCGGTATAGTATACAGTGACACTGTGGTATATACGCAGGTGTAGTATTCTGTGACACTGTTATATATACGTAGGTATAGTATCGTATAGTATAGTATACAGTGACACTGTTATATATACGTAGGTATAGTATACCATGACACTGTGATATATACGTAAGTGTAGTATTCCGTGACACTGTGATATATACGTCGGTATAGTATACAGTGACACTGTGATATATACGCAGGTGTAGTATTCCGTGACACTGTGATATATACGTAGGTATAGTATCCCGTGACACTGTGATATATACGTAGGTATAGTATACCGTGACACTGTGATATATACGTATGTGTAGTATTCCGTGACACTGTGATATATACGTAGGTGTCGTGTAGCCATACACTGTGTTAGATAACCAACTGAAGTAAAATGTACATTCTACTTCGGGTGTTCACCATCCATGCAATTGGTTCTATTTATACAACCCAAAAGGAATGTTGCAATTTAACTTTTATGATTCGTCGAGTGTGTTATTGCTTCTCTGCATATTAAAATGATTACAACTTATGTCGTATGTTTACATCAACACAACTTTTAGGTTCAGTAAAAGATAACTTAATGCTACTTGATAACGAAGTTTGGATGGCGTTCTTGTTTGTGGCCCTGTACACATATGATGTTGAATATAAATGACCTTGAACACGGTCCGTGCTGTAGGCATCTGTTCACTATAACTCTTGAGGGATAGTTCCTGGCACAGCTGTAGCCAATAGTTAAGGCTGGCACGAGATAATATCTGTATCTGCTGTCGTGGTCAGTGCTATGATTAATTGGGTATATATGTATCCTCGTTACCTCTGCCTGTTTAGTCTCTATTTATTGGCAGTGAACACAAATCAAGCGTACACCATTTAGTCTGTATCGTACAATGCCTTAGTGGCCAATTACACGTGTCCCGGTACATCTGAGATACGTATACGTGCAAAATACAAACTGACAGTTGATAGAGAATGACACTCAGGAATCACTGTAATCACACAGTAATAACACCGGGTGTTGGAGTAACGGGTCCAGTGGCGAAGTTGTTTAACGTCACATCCAAGGATCAGCTGCTGGTTGGGATGTGTCACAAGGGATGCTGGGTAATGACTCTACGTTGTGATGTATGTAAAGTATTGCTTTGTCAAAGATGCACAAGTTATGATACACTTATAAAACACCTGTTTTCACGACACACCTGGTACCCATACAAATCAGTTTTCCTTCATCTTCACAACTTCTAAAATGCCTCTCAAAGGAACAAATAAATCATTGTTTAAGCTAAAGGTATCACATGTACTTTCCTTCTCAAGCCCACACCTGTAACTCACTCATAACTATGTCTTATTTTGTCAGGAAGCGGTGGACACATTCGGGCAGTACACCTCTGACCTATCCTCGTGTCCAGGAAGGCGTCATCACAACGACGCGGCTTGTGTTTGGAACAGAAACATGTGAAACTTGCGGCAAGGTGTGGTGTATGTTTCAGAGACAATAGACTCCTCTGATCTGAAGGGTCCCCATCCTCCTTAGTCAGGACAGACACATGTGTATCACAAACAATCATTCGGAAGTACTCGGGCATTTCCGGAAGTTGCTGGCTACCTGACACCTGAGAAACTCTGAAAGACACTTCAGAACTTTAATTGTCTGCGAAGTAGCCGACATGCCTCCAGTTCATATTCGCAGTTCGGTCCCGTGGCATGCTTTCACTGTTTCGGGTTGCGCCCGAACGCCCTGAAAACTTCACTTGGAATTCGAAGGAGAAATTTGATCCACTGCTGAGAGAGCTGTCTATAATTATTCTATCCTATGCCTGGCCGGAGAGAAAAACAGATGATCCAAGGGTATTTGAGTGAGGGGACGGTATATAGACACATAACCTCGGGGGTTAACGAGGGAGTGTGAAGAACATAGAACAATCCTACAGGGGTCCTGACAGTGCAACCTCCAGCCCAGAGGCACAGCCGGTGAGTAGACTCATGTCATTGGTGTTACGTGTTACTCAGGTCAGTCTTTAGGTCGTCTTCAAATAAAATTTAAAAAAGCAGAAATAAAAATATCTATTGAAGGTTTGTCACTAAAACAAGTGACGTTAAGACTTCCAAGTCCCCATACCATCAGATGGCGCCTTGCTGTGTTGCCAGTCAGGGCATGTACAAAACATACCGTTATTCTAGATGCCCCGCGTTCCTCGGCAGGTGTACTTGCGATGATGTTGTAAAATAATCGCTGAGCTGATATCGGGTTGAGCAGTCGTGTCAGTCAGTCCGTTATAGCACTTCAGAAGGCCTGGATTTGTCATAAGAACCGGCACCAGTCTCAATTGTCTATCGAGAGGCTGTTAATGTATGTATTATAACTGTATGCAATGACCCGACTGAACCGCTCGTCGGTGATGTTTTCCTAGATGTTATGTTTCTTGGTATTCCACAACAGTTTTTGCTTGTTTTCCTTGTAAACTACCCTTCCTATACATTCGGGGAAATTAAAATACCATTTCTGCCCATCCCTTGTTTACCCGCCATCTGCCGGAACAATATGCATGATGTAGTATGCTATCCTGGGATTCGCTGACAGGAAAGTGAGTCCAGGTTTGACTTAGCTAACATAGCAGCTAAATGAATGGGCATCCAGCGCGATTGTTCCTGACAACAGAGAGTCTGGCGAGTGTCTGTCTGTAGGGCTCGGTGACAAATGGAGGTCGCTGCTGTTTCAAGGTACATGTAATTACTTTACTTGAAACACGTTCGTCGTATCATGTTAATACACAGGTGTTTGGTTGTATTTGGAATTACTTGTGGGGCAAAAGTGACTCAGTAACATTTGTGGGGCAAGAGTGACTCAGTAGTTACTTGTGGGGCAAGAGTGACTCAGTAGTTACTTGTGGGGCAAGAGTGACTCAGTAGTTACTTGTGGGGCAAGAGTGACTCAGTAGTTACTTGTGGGGCAAGAGTGACTCAGTAGTTACTTGTGATGATATCTAGATGACAACTAGATGACATTTAGCGGACCTTTAGCAGAAACATGTGAATGGAATATATTTTATAAATGGAGTTAGTGAGGCAGTTTTTGTAAGACGATCATATTCTTTGATAATGCTCCCAATTTCGGTAGTATATACGACCAGTGATAGCTGAAAGGTTCATGGTGATCCTGGCCAATTGGTTTCGAACCCTACTCTCGCCCAGGTTGTCCCCCTTGCTCTGTCAGCATCAATCTTCGCTTGTTAAGTTCAATAAAATGTTCGTTAACAGATACTGAAAAAAGGAAATTATTAATATAATTGTAGCTATATAGCTCTAAAGAATTTTAGATTTATCAATATTTTAACTTTACACAAAACAACGCAAGGCAGACCAGGATGGCGGGAAGCCCCGGTCTACAGAGGGCACAAATATGCTGTCTATTACGTAATACCCCACATCTAAAGAAAGTCGACGGAATCCATCAACAATCCTAGCAAAAACTAATAGACGTTACATCTTTTAAGAAAAAGACAGGAGCTTTAAAAGATGTGCTCCTGAAAGATCTGTACTCATAATACTATCAAGAAGAACATCTTCAAATACACTTTTGTCGGCGTATGATGCCGGCTGATCTGCAGCAGTACCAGAACGTCCTGTGATGCATCTCCCGGTGTAAGAAGCTGTCGCTGTAACATCCCTTTTCTTTCCATCGAACACTATAATACTGTCTGGACATACGTGATAATGATGGATAGAAATGACGATCTCTTCCATCCTTGTCAGTGGGAGTCTTCATGTTCCTGGCATTGCTTCATCCTGGCATGGAGAGGCTGATAGGACATCTCTCCTGCTTACATGATTGAAGATGCGGGAATTACGTCCCTGAAATGCAATAAGCCCCTTGCCCGTTGCTCTATATTCGGCTCCTAACAGACAATATAAGGCCGTGTATAGGTGACTGATTAAATCTAACATGCCATATTCCTTCCGCATCGCTTACTTCGTTATTCGGTTGTCATGAATTCACTAAGGTTTTGGGAAAATGTTCAGTGTTCTTACAAGTTTTGCATGTCAGTAACGTTAATACCCAGAAAGGTATTTTATGTGTGATTTACGTTACACGACAGTTGGCACCACATAACACGCTGGGAGTGGCATCCAGTTATTGCTCATCTATAATGCTGCACTAACCACACTTAGTTTGTCCTTTACATTCCCCTGCTGCCGTGTGAAATATCAAGTATTTAATATTACACGAACTCTGACATTATAATTGTGTGCCTGTAGTTCTATATAAACACCGTTTGTTTTTTTGCATGAGATTGTCAATACCTTTAAGTGGTTTATTAAAACCCTTCATGATATATAGGAAGTGAATGAATTACAGCTCATCCCCTCCCAGGTAGCGGCGAATCCCCATGCAATACGTCCACTTGCCTTCAATCTCTAACTCCACCAGAGCAGCAGCTTCGCGGAGCAAAAAAAGTCTTCTAGTGGTTATAAAATGTTTGGAGAGCACTCCTGACTGGCAAGTTGCAATTATGTACAAATTGACTCATAGGGATGAAGCTTTGCTCAATCTGGACGTGGTGCCTACTCATGTACTGTCGAGACGTGCTGCGGCGTTCTTTTGATGAGGCAAGACAGCGACTTTAGCAATGCCTGCCACAAATTCTAGGGCTACAGGTCCCTCTTCTATCCCTCCTGGTCCTGTCATATGTTTGCATAACGAAATCAGGGGAAAAGAACTACACCATTACGTTATAAGAACGTTTGACTTTCGACTTGACAAACACCATATTCCTGTTTGTGTGAAGGGAGAGGGCGTTGATCAGCACGGACAGAGACTTCTGAGGACACCGATGTCAGGCTTACATAAACGAATGTCGATTACCTATTACCATCAAACTGGCAAGACCCTATGCGTCTCTTTATCTCTATATATACTTCCAGACTGCATTCTGTAAAAGGTTATACAGTATTATTACTGTAGAAAGGATATAGGAATTTAAACAAGCCATGGAATTACCTGCTTGATATATTTCGGGACTTTTCAGGAGCGCCATCGTCCTTTGTACATACCCGTCTGTACTGATTGCATGGTTGATGCTAGCGCTGACCAGTTAGTGATGTAGCATCTCACGGAGGTGGCGCGGTCCGATTTACAAAACGACGATTTCGTGGGGATGACCTTAATCTCTGTATATTAGTCCAGCTTATGGATCGTGGAAAACGTTAAAGAATCAATATGTGTATGGTCAAATAACAATATTTCAATGAAGAAACCCCTGAATATCATGTAATCTTTTAGTCTCCAAAGTGAATATTGAATGAATATTGACTACAGGCTCCTGCAGGAACGGATGTGCTATGGGATGAATGTCAAATTTAATGTACGCTTGGGTCTGTGAAACAAGACACGCCCGAAACATATGTTCACTAAACCCACTAAAAGCACTACAAGCCTTTGTAACATAGGCCCCCAATACATGACGTCCATCTTCTGTCGGATCTGCCTGCGGGGTTGAAGCTTCAATCCGTCCCGATTAAAACCCGTGGTCAATCACTGCGATAGGATTCAACCTAAACTTCCAATGGTCTAGGCATCTGTCCTGATCTGAAATGCAAGGCGCAACTAAATTCTGACAATATTTCCTCAAGGGTCCATTTAGAATCAATGATCTTTGTGATAGATACGACTACAGAAATCCTGTGTTACAATAGCATAAGCGCTGATATCATCTAGTGCAGGTGATAATGAGCCGCGTGCCCCATGCACGAACATGTCGACATATCCCATCAATGCTGAAGAAAGAACTCACGGCAAGGTGTTATATGCCCAGCGGGGCCAACAGCACGTGACATGTCATATTTTACATTTTCTGGTCGTTCCACAAAGCGCGTCTGAAATGAAACTACTCTCGACTGGGACATGCGTCGGAAGTTGAGTTAAATTGAATGTTAGAGTAGAACGTGAAAACAGAATGCAACAATCACACTGCTGTGTCCTCAAGGGGATCCGGCCTCTACATAAACCAGAATGTCACGTCTTTTGTCACAGCATCAGAACGGTGTTGCTCCAAGTACATCATCGCAGTTATTGGGAAGCTGACCACCCCTGAAATAATGAAGTAGAACATTTGAAGCACAGGAAACAACAGAAGGGACAGTGTCGATGTACCCCACCATTACATCGTTCAACGAGGTAAATTCCAACCCAACTCGACTCCACGTGATGTTTTTTTTCGTTTCCTGTAAAAGGATTTGATGGTCTTACTGAGCTAGGCAAGGTAGGATTGTAAATAGTCCACAAGTGAGAACTATCTGGCTTTATGTGAATACACTTCTTCTTCGTGAGCAGTGGTTTCCTGAACCCCATCCCGCCCAAGAGGCTTTAGCTGGGCATTAGGCACTTGCGGCTTTCAACGGCAAGGGATTCATGTAAGTACAGAAAACGAGAGTGATTTCCTGCGTCTTTCATTGATAGTTATGACTTCAGTCAAAGCCTAAGTTACAGGCGTACTGTTTGCAGGTTACGTCGTGTATTTTACCAAGTTTTACACGCGAGAAATGCTGAGTGTACAATGAAATCCCCTAAATTCCGACACACAAGTTGTGTTATTGTATTTGCCGTAGTGTTGTAATACATTGCAGCTTCTATAACCCTGCTGTTGTCTGGCAGCGACTGGTGGTATCTTTGGAAGTGCAGGTAAATTGTCGAGTGCTGTCAACGGAGTGAAGTTAGATCCCCTTGTTATTTACATGCATGACAAGCTTGATCCTTTGTAAGATTGTGGGTCGGGACAGTACCAATAAAGGCTGCTTATGTATATATAAGAGAAAGACAAAAGTGCGATACAAAGGGCCTCATTCGGTCCGACTTGAATTTACATGCCAAGTGCGGATTGGATTCGTTTTTGAAAACAGGAAAATCCAGGCAACCTCCAACACCAGAGTGAAATGACAGGCCGGTTTTAGTCCAATTGACAGTACCTCAATTC